TTAACTGACAGCGTAATATCCACTAATCCCAACTATAATGGACTGGAATTAAAGATGGAAAATGAATAAAAGTCGATATCAAGCCAGGAAACTAACGCTAAGCTAACTTGTTGCTTTAGCCGCAGTCACACCCATTAGCACAACACAAACTTTACAAACACACTCGGTAGGACTGATATTCACCGATATTCAGGAACATATCGAAAACACAGTGTATGAAATCATTGAGTTTGTGTGAGTGATGGTTGTGTAGTTTTACTTACATGCTCGATAGTTGAGTTGATGAATGATTTGTGAAGGCCCCGCTGATAATAAAAGCTGCTATTGTGAGTGCGCACAGAGGGAGGGGACTCCAGACACGAGTTCAGTGACTTTTCATATATTTGCATTAAATACTCATGAATATATAAATGAATATTCAGATAAAAACTGTAATATTTTGGATATTATATTGCTAGTTTCTAGTTTTCTATAAAATAATAAATTAATATTAAAATAAATATGTAAAGAAATGCTTATATTTAACAAAAAAGAATTACATAATTATATAAATAAAAAATATAAATGTAATTATAGTTAATGTTCATACTGTATGTTCTTGTAATGTTATAAATATAGAGTTTATAATGGTAAACTTTGTTTTTTTTTGTTTTTCTTGTCAGTAATGTGAAAGGAACTGAGCTTGTGTGTTTTTATGAACTTTCAGAGCAGAGGGGAGTTCAGAAATTATATTATGGAAAGAAAAACAGAAAGTTGCAGAGAACAGGAACAACAAGAGCACCGTTTCTTTTCAGATTTTATTTTACAGCAGAAATTATATAAAGCATTCAGAAAACATTTTCCATATTTTAAGGGCAATTCAAAATATTTTGCATGGCTTCAGCAGCTGAATATTTATTTCTTTTTTGAAAACATATCCAACAATTCAGTGATGCTCTCACATGCACAGTTACAAAACAAAAATAATAGTAATAATAAAAATAAATCTAAGTAAATAAATAAAACTCACAAGAAGGACAGAAAGAGGGAGACGGCCGGGAAAGCAGCACATGAGGCAAAACTCATCAGAGGAGGAAAAGGAGGAGGAAGATACGAGGAGCACAAAGCAGGTATGAAGGAGAAAGAGAACGAGAGAGAGAGATAGGGGAAAACAGAGGTCTAATACTAGCTTCACATGCAGAGTGTTGAAAGCCCACTGTCTTGTAAGAAATATGGGCTCATATTTTATCTTTTTTTTCTATTCTTCATTTTAAAATGATGAAAACGTGCATTAGAGCTGGGAAATATGAAATCAATGTCCACAGACCACTGAACACCTCTCTCTGTGTACCTGTAATTGCATAAGAGGAAGTGAACTAAGCATGTCCCAATGTTTTTTTCTTTCTTTCTTTCTATTTTTATAAATTTTTTTATGTTTGACTTATCCATATTCTTTCAACCTAAAGAGCTTGTCTAAAACAAAGTGTTTATTGCTGTGTACTTGTAAGTGAAAAGCTTATAATCGAGTGGTTTTTCAGTTCTGTTTAAGCCTAACCTGCAGTTCCGGAGTTCCAATCAAGAGAGATGATTTAGGACATCGTACAAACTTCCAACTGCACCAGTATTGTTTTCCCTCGTTTTGCTGTAACCTTCATTGTGGTCTCATGTGGTCATCCGTCAAGATAAAGCACACACACAGACGCGCTTGCAACGTACCAGGGCTTGGAGAGGGAATTCAACTCGGATTATGAGCTGTACAAAGTGCATATTTCTCTTATCTGACACAAAAATACGCAAAGCATGATCCGGATGCATGTATGCTGAGCTGTTTCATAAGAGGACGGGATCTCTCACCTTATTCTGAAGGTATTTGGCGCTGAGGTATACTTATGCATTCCCAATCCCATGGGGATATGGCAATACTAAACGAGCAGTGATACCTTCATGAACAATGATACCTGCTCAGTTTTGGAAAAATGGTCTAAAAACTCTACAAACATACAGTCTATCCTGTTACCCGAGTGGCGGTCTGTCTCTGAAAGCAGTGGTTTTGTAACAAAGCGAACATACATATGGAATTACATATTCCCAGTGGTTTCTCCTGTTGATTCTGAGCTGAACCTGGAGACTCAACCTAACCTAATCTAGTCTCCATGCTAAACACCATCTCCCTGTTTTAGCACCCTGAGTAAAACTACAAAAGGGAGGCAGATTTTTCCCGTGCTTAAGATGAATGACCCAAACTGAGATACATATACCTGGTGATCCATAAACAGCTTTTCCTGGTGAATACTGAGGACTTCTGCTTATGATTTCCTGAAGTTTCAAGTCGGACGGATGGAAAGGGCGGCCACCTTCGCTTGGAGTTGTGCTCGGACTTGAAACTGACAACCGGATGGAGATATTACATAATGCGCCAACTACACTGAGCGTGTCCTACTTTCCTGGCCCAGTTTAGAGCCGACATGGAAAAAGAGAAAGAAAAGTACACAAAATGAAAGAAATAATGAAAGCATGCATAGTACGTTACTGGGTCACTCAAAGTCGCTTTTTGTAGACATAATCAGAATGAGTGGGGGACAAAAAACCCAAAATGAAAGGTGCCTTCTTCACACTCTGTGTCCGTGTTTCAGGAGTGAAAAGGGTGTGAGAGGAGGAAACAGACCTGGGCTCCTGTTTGGACAGCAAAACCAGCCTTTAGCGTTGCATACCGTTAAAAATAGAGCAACTGGTTCATATGGACTTCTTTAGGAACAACACACTCCTGATATCGGTTGAATGTTTTAGGCACTTTCTATAATAATACTGATACTTAGTCTCTGAGATCACGAGACAACATTTAACTTGTAAAACAATGGATGTGGGGAATAGAAATAAAACTACATAGCTAATAATTCAGCAGATAAGCACCACATTCTTTCCTCATCCTTCCTTTCTTTAACAGGCTAAATGTGCTGGTGTAAGCTCGTCAGCTGAAATCGCTGGACGTTTTTGGAAGTTCAGGGGGTCAGTTAGTCTCAAATTTTTTTCAGAGACATTTGTGAAAGACGCTTATTTCCATATAGCTGGCACGAGCGTAAACGAAAAACAAAACGTACAACAGAAATCAATATGATTCGGTGTGACTCAGCCATGGGGTTTGGAAAGTTGGTAGCAGCCCCCCCAAGAAATGAAGAAACAATCAAAAATAAAGCTATGAACATGGCAGTCGTCGATTCTGATGAGAGTCGAAACATACGTGTTTTGAGCTACATTCACAATATGTATCCATGACCGTTTTCGTGGCCTCTCAGTGTTTGATTCTAGCATGTAAGCACGTGTATGGGAATCGCCTGCTGGAAATAACCATTCACAACCCTCACGTCAACATCATTTTTAATTACATGACCTACGTTTAACCTCCTAACTCCATCGAATACCATTGTTCATGTTGAGTTCAAGACGATAAAATGTGAGTACACCTTCTAGTTATGTTATACAAGACAAAACCGTGGAGACATTTCATCCCCTGTATCGTAGAAACCTCAGCTGTAACTGTTGGGTGAGTGAGTGAAGTTTGGTCATTCAATACTATAGTTCTTCCAATACTTCTCAAAGGACTAGCTTATTTAAGTCCTGTAGCATTCACATGACTGGTCACCATCGGTTAAAACGAAGCAAAACAAAATACTATTTTATTTCCGCTAACCCTGAAAAAGAAAGATCCTGTTGTGTCTGATGCATTCGTTTGGCTCTTCCGCTAAATCTACGGTTTTATCGTGAATCATGTCATGCTTCAGAGAATGTTCTGTGAAAGAACATTTTCCACAAAGTCTTACAGTGAAGTTGTTCAAATCGTATTACAGATCATTGCCACTACATTTTATCTTTACAATATGTTCAATGTCTTAAAGTTTCATGCACATGGCTCCTTCTTCGCAACCAGTATTTACAATATTTACAAACCGTACATTTTGGGCGTTCAAAGAAAACTATACAATATATTTTTTGTTTGTCTCTTAATGTGTTATAATCCAATTTATGAATAAAATACTATATATTCTTAAATACAATCCTCTTCGGAAAAGGTTTCTGGCTATCAATGTTCCTTCACCCATCTTCATATGTACAGGGACCACTTAAATAGTCAAAAATATGGATTTTTTTTTTTTGAAGCTTCTGTATAGGGACCCTTCAAAAAGTCAAGAAGTCAAGGCAATGTTCAGTGAAACTCCACGGGAAAGCTTGTGGCGGCTTTCTGGAGCTCTTCGAAATCAACCAACAGTAACAATGAAGAAACGTATCACAACACACACGCACACACACAAAAATGGAAGATAACCTTTGCAAATCTACGTTTGGCGCTGTGGCACAATGGATAGTACAGTTCACATTAAAAAAGGTCCGTTTTTAAAACAAAGAGTTTTTAAAACCTTCACACAATAATAAAAAAATGCAATAATGATAAAGGCAAAAAAAGTAAATAAAGCTAATAAATAAATAAATGAACTATATAAAAATAATGGTCTTTATAACAATATACTCGAAAACAAACAGGTCTAGTTTGATGGTGCCACAATATCACCAATATAAATGAATGAAAATAAAACACAAAACATTTACATAGCATGCAGGAGCATTTTGCTCAAACACATGCACTGTATCCAGATTCAATTCAACAAACACAGGACACACAAAGTCAGGCCAGCAAAAATGACATTAAGAAAAGGACCCATAAGAAAGTCGAAAACAGTGCACACAAAACAGTAGCCCAGAGGGCTTCGCTTCAATCCCCCAATTTGTTGTCAGAAGTCCCCTAACACCCATAAAGACAAAGGTAAGACACTGATATTTCAAACCCAGCATTTTTGATGACCCCATCTACATTCACATGAAGGCTTCCCTTTGAATGAACGGACAGCATTTGTCAAAAACAAAGATTCGTGGAGATGAGAGATTGATTTCAAATACTCTGCATGCATATGGTCACTGAAATGAGGCCTTTTTTTGGTTTACATTTTCTAAGTTTTGTTCTTTCCCCCCCCCCCCCCCCCCAAACTTGTTGATTGTTGTCTTTTTTCCTTTCAAAATATAAAAATGTAATCTGAAGCGGCTTCCAGCATGACGTTTTTCTGACGTTGATCTGTTCATGTCGCGTGATATTTTACAAGCGTCGTTGGAATAAAAAGTCTTTGCTCCTTGGTCTTCCTTTGTTTTGTTTTTTTTTGTAATCTAAAGAAAAAAAACCTATGAAGAGTGCAAAAATGCCATGAAGATAATGTCATATTTCCCCAATAGTCTTGATTTCAGTTCCCCGGTAGCAAGAAAATACACAATGCAGGAGCAGAATCAGTCACAACGCTGCTAGAGTTCAACCGTCGCATATCCGATGATCTTCCGTCTCCCCCTTCCTGAATAATTTTTGCTTTTTTCGTAAATTGTTTGTCTCTCATAAAAACGCAATGAAGAGAAAGAGTCCGCTCACAGATGTTACATTGCGACGGGGCTCTTTGCTGCGCTCTCATGTTCCTTGGCCTTTCTCAATTCTTTCGCCCTGAAAATAGACCAAAAAAACAGAGTTTTGCAGGGTTAGCCTGAGGGTTCACAAGTATTCTGGGCCCTCAGAGGAATCACAGACCATTAACCAATACACCTGCCAGTTTCATTACTGTCTCCTCACTGGCATCAACAAAGAACAACAAATATACCCCACTATAAATGACAAAGATCTTTAAAGCCTCAAGGAACATATAGAACACAGATACAGCGACTCAGAAAGCTAGGTCACACTTAAAAACGTCTTAATGTCATGGCATTAGATAACAAAACATCAAAGCAAGTGTCAATTATTTTAAAGAAAGATAGCACAAGCACACCTTTCAAGCTGAACAGAAGGTTTAACAGTAGATTTACTGTTTAAAATGAACATTTGGAAACTTTGTGGTTGTCAAACGTTAGTGGAATATGTCCGCAATCCAGCTGCTCAAAGGTCAAAGCAAATATGGCTCAGAAAAGTAGTTCTTGTCCAGGATTTGAGCACAGATGATACATGGTTGGATATTGTGCATCTAATCCAACAACATTCACACATTTTTAAGTGTGATTTAAATGTCCAAATACTTTTTTGGCCACTGTATAGGACAAAAGTAATTTTTGTAATTTTTTTTAAATCTGTGGGAAAAATGGTTTTCTTTTAAATTTACTTTTTACATCTAAGAGTCTACAATCAGACTACAAAGCAAACACATTAATATATTAAAAAAACCTCAGGCTCTAAAATAATCCAAAGTAAACCATCCATCTTAACACTACAGAATAACCTTTAAAAAGTGACAATATGCAACCCTACAATTCATGCACAATACATCACAGAAATTCAACTTAATTAAATATTTAGATTTTTTCATCATGTTATACTTCTACATTTAGAACTTATTATTCAACATCTTAAAGACAATTTAAACCCCCAAACATGTCGTTAGCTCACAGTTTGACCCCCGTCCCACCCTCAGCCCCCAAATCAAGCTAATAAAAGCTGAAAGAGATGTATAAAACAGGCAGCCAGGCATTCAAGACATTTTCTCTTCCATAGAGAAAGGGATGTTATTTCAAGCATGCCCTGATGCTCCATGTCTTTAGCCATCATGCAATTGCCAAATGCACTACCTAGCAGTCCTTAGTGTTGTCATAAGCATCCTCATAACAAGAGAGATGGAGGAGACTTTAGGGAGATAGAGGGATCGAAAGAGAGATTGAGAGAAAGAGAGAGAGAGTGAGAGAGAGAGAGAGAGAGAGAGTGCATTGTTAGTTTTGCAATTAATGCATCATCTGTATTTGTTGGTTAGTTGGATCTATAGGGATCGAAAGAGAGATTGAGAGAAAGAGAGAGAGAGTGAGAGAGAGAGAGAGAGAGAGAGAGAGAGAGTGCATTGTTAGTTTTGCAATTAATGCATCATCTGTATTTGTTGGTTAGTTGGATCTATAGTCCTCTCTCTCTCATATAAGGCTCAGTCAACTTGGGCTCCAGTCGGCCGTCATGCATGCAGGCATAAAGCAATAGAGAAAATAAGGTAAAAGTAAAGCGGGTAAGAAAGGACAGAGAGAGTCATAGGGAACAGCAGAGTCTGAAATCAAGGTACATAGACGAAGAACAAGATGAAAGAAAAGCGAGAGACAGGGAGATAAAAAGAAGAGAAATCGAGGGGTACGAACTGATTTACTGAGGCTGCACTCACCCGTTTGAATAGTCTATGGTCCATCAAGGGGCTTTGCATAAACAGCAAAACAACACCAGACAGCTATTAGTACACACTGAGGTTGGGTTGGGTTGGGGAAATTGGGACCAAACACAATAGGGCTTTCTAACAGAGCCATGAAAACACCAAGGCTTGTCTGTTGCTGTTCTATGGCTCCTGACAATTGTGTTGGTGTGCTTGAGAGATTATGAAATGTGCCTCTAACCTTTTTAAACCGCAGGATATTAAAGACTGATTTAAAATCATCTAAAATCTGCAAGTATACCATAGAGTGAGTTTGTGCATGCTAGAAGAACAACAGGGCTGTAGGAACACAATGCACCTGCTGGAAGTTCTCGTCTTTGACCTACCTGTGACGGCACCGCAGCAGAAACCTCATTATTTTTCTGGCAGCCTGGTCTTGTCTCTTGGTCAGTAAACTGCTTCTAAAACAAATTGATCAGCATGAGTGGTTTTGTACAAACCAGACATTTCTGGAAGAAAAAAAATAAGCATGTGCAAAAATTGTTGCTATGATTCTAGGGTGTGCGAAAGATTCAGTTTCAAACGTTACAAAGAGTCCACCCACAAGTCCCTATGATATGGCTAGGGTTCATCCATCAATGCAAGTCTACAGGATTTTCTTGCACACTTTATTGTCTACCAGGCAAAATATAACATTACACCTACCCTCAACTAGACACCTTATTCGAGGAATTGTCCAGAGCACAAATTTTGCATGCTAACACCTAACATTTAGGGGTTTGTTCAAATCCTTAACTCTAAGTGTATGCAAAAGTAATATTCTGCACTCCTAGAAACTGGAAAACTGCAATTGCTTCAACAGGTTGTGAGACAACAAATGGCATGCAAAAATAACGATGCTTCTATGTGTACTTGGACTCAAACTGTTAGTGAAGTAAATAATTTCCTGGCGCTGTTTCAACAACAGATTGTCTCTTAAAGTAAACAGGAGGGTTTCGAATGCTGCCATTCTTTAGAAAGTCGACTTGGCAGTGTGTCCCATTTCAAGTGTTGGCACATACTTAGTAATTCATCCAAAACGACAGCACACTTTAGAATGGCAAAATGACACTAAATTAATGCACACAACACTCCTTGTGAGGCTTGAACACACAAGGTTGCTTAGTAAAAGCATGTGTACACACAAATGGACTTTGGGAACTCAATTCAGAACTAAACTCCAAGGTTATGGCCATGTAAAAGGTCTTTTAACTGCCTATTATACTTGGATGATGAATGCTTAATTCTATACATGAGGGTGGCATTTTAATTCTAAATGTGGTGTATTACATGAAAAATTTTGAATCATTAAGCAGTACCTTGCTTGGCCACTGGAGGCGCCAAAGTGCTCACACCAATAAGAGTGTGCAGATGTCATGAGTATTTGACAAAAACTTTTATAATATCTGATTTGTTTGATCTTCAGCCACTAGGTTAGCCCTTACTGGATTGCTGTTCTTGTACCTGAGTTTTTGCTGCACCAGTGCAGCTGCAGTGGCTCGGCTGCGTGGGTTCGGCCGGCCAAGCTCTTTGTAGCTGCGGTAATATTGCTGGATCAGCATGGCTGCCCTGCGACTCTGCTGGAACTTCTTCTGTTCGTGGTAGCTGCGGAATTTACTCTGGATAAGGATGGCGGCCAGCGTCATCTTCTTATAAAGTGCATACTGCCAAGAGGACAGACAAAGAAACTTGTGTCACATGACAGAGAGAGAGAGAGAGATCTGTAGCAAACTACTCTGTTAGCAATTTGGCTAATACAAAACAAATATCAACAGTGCCAAACTACACCATCAACATTAAATTAGATGTGTTGTGGATGATTGACAGTTGCTATGCAGTTGCTAAGCTGTTTTGAATGTTTTTGAACACAAAATAGCACAACAGAACGTGCTAGGTCATTTCCAGGTGGTTGCTTACTGCCTCAAGTCTCAAAACGTGGACCGAATCTAAACGAACTATGACATTTTTTTGCCAGTTTTATTGTTTTAGAAGTCAGGTAAGATAGGAAAAGTAGCTAAATAGCTAATCCATTCTTAGCAAGCTGAATTATTTACAGCTGCATCTCAATAAGTTAGAATGTCGTGGAAAAGTTCATTTATTTCAGTAATTCAACTCAAATTGTGAAACTCGTGTATTAAATAAATTCAATGCGCACAGACTGAAGTAGTTTAAGTCTGTGGTTCTTTTAATTGTGATGATTTTGGCTCACATTTAACAAAAACCCACCAATTTACTATCGCAACAAATTAGAATATGGGGACATGCCAATCAGCTAATCAACTCAAAACACTGACAGTTGTCCAGAAGACAATCATTGACACCCTTCACAAGGAGTGTAAGCCACAAACATTCATTGCCAAAGACGCTGGCTGTTCAAAGAGTGCTGTATTCAAGCATGTTAACAGAAAGTTGAGTGGAAGGAAAAAGTGTGGAAGAAAAAGATGCACAACCAACCGAGAGAACCGCAGCCTTATGAGGATTGTTAAGTAAAATCGATTCAAGAATTTGAGTGAACTTATTTAATACACGAGTTTCACAATTTTAGTTGAATTACTGAAATAAATGAACTTTTCCACAACATTCTAATTTATTGAGATGCACCTGTAAACTTGCTTCCATCTTTGTTAGTACAAGTTTGGTTCATATCCATAACCCTAAGTATAAGCAAAGTGATAAAGAAGCACCACTAACGAACTTCCATTTCAAAGCAGTAGTAGTTGTAGATGAAGCAGAAGTGTTACCTTCAAGGCTATCCATGTCAGCTTGGGGAAGAGAGAGGAAGGAATTGAAGGCATTCTCGTAATGCCTTTAATAACTGACCACTCAAAAGTGTACACATACAGATTTCTGAGTGTCTCTGCCTACCTGTTTGTACCTCTTATAACAGCGCTGAATGACAGCAGCTGCCAGTTCCTGCTGCTCTCGAAGCGGACGACCCTGCAGGATGGGGGAAGAGGGGGATAATGTAGGGTGGAGAGGACAGGAGAGAGATTAGAGTTCACAAGGAGGCCTGCAAGGCCACAGAGATGATGGCATCTGATTCCTTTGTGCCTGGCCAAGGTGTCTTCATAGAATGGTAAAGTTGCGTCGATATGCTCTGACACCTGGGAGAAGGTTATTCCTCAGAGCACTGCGCACCAGCGGAACACTGGGAGAAATCTGCTCTGAACAACCAACACGGTGTGGACTCAGAGATATCTGCGCATCCCGTTAAGACAGACAGATAGATAGAGGGAACAATGCAATCATTCCTTATAGCAAGGCCATGCTAAGCTCAAGCAAATTTCCCCATGCTTGTCAACAACAGTGACCCTATCTCTGCCTTTTGAGTGCACAACAATCATACCACCTTTCACAACACAGGACTGCAAAGATCCAGATTCATTTACCTTAAGTTCAGGAGCACCATACAACACAACACAATACATCAAGACCTTTGAAATTGGACCATCACAAACACTGGCAACACACCACTGATAACCTGCATGGGTGACCCTGGCACCTGGGTGAAGCCCTGCCCTACCTTGTATTTGCGGAAGGTGTTCTGGACCTGCCGAGCTGCCTCATAAAGTTCTCTCTGTTCGGGATCAGACAGGGCCAGCTGGGTCAGGTCGCGCTCCTCCTTGTTGTGGGAGGCATTGAGGAGCGCAGTCCATTCAGCAGGGGTCTGGAGGCCAAGCTTCCCAAGAGGACCATCGAGTTCTGGCTGTCCTCCACCGTGGACTGGGCCCAGGCCAGGAGAGGAAGTTAGGGGCTTGTTAAACAGGAACCTGGGAACAATTGGAAAAAACAATTACACACAAGAACCCAAAGAGACTGTAACTGGGATTCTTGAGAACAGATTATAGAACTTTTTGATGAATCACCTCTCTGCATCTCCAAGGTAACTGGCCAACCAGCTCATGGACATGGTGCTGCTGACTCCAACACCATCCAGTGTAGTTTCTGATGCAACAAAGTTTTCCCTCTTGATGCGATCAGATGTCGCCTCAATGACTTCCTCTGCTAAAGTCATCATGTTCATGTTCTGAAACAAATAGTTTTAATAGGTACTTTAATAGGTACTTTCAAAATTGCTAACAAAATTGCCACTGAGACATCAGACAGAAGCCAATGCAAGTTTTGCAAGATCTGACAGACTTTACTTTTATCCTATATCACTACAAAAAAAAGTTTAGGCAGTCTGCACGATTACCTTCTCTATGCCTCACCTGCAGGTCTCCTGTGTTCTCCAGATTCTCTTGGGTTGTCCGCAGATCAGAGATTGTTCCCGCACTAGCAATCTCTCTTAATCTCAGTCTGTTCGTGAGCCTTTCCTTGCCAAGTCCTACAGTTGGCACTCTGCGTCCTGCAGCCTGTCTGGAACCCCAGCACCCACCTCCACAAGTTGAGCCCAGCTTAGTCTGAGACTGCTCACCATCTCCTTGCTCTTTCTCCGCAGTACCTTCCCTTGGTTTAGAAGGGCACGTTTTAGGCTTGTGGGCCTGTTCTTCTAGTCCGAGAGGTGCAGAGCAGGGTTTGCTGGGCAGAGTTTGAAGGGTCTCAGGGTTGGGTTTGTGTTTCTTGCTCAACGGGGCATCCCCGTGACTAACGCTGCTATAGAAACTAGATGGTTCCGACCTGGGTCTCCTCAAGTCTGCAAAAGTACAAAGAAAGTGTCTTAGAAGAATGTTTGACCAAATTAAACACAGCCTGTCACCCAACCTGAACCATCTCCTTACAAAGCACTCGTTTGTTTATGCAAGGTCTTTCCACATTTAATAGGTTTTTCTTAATTCAACATGCACATGAAAGACTGTTGAAGACTGACAGTCCAGATAGAATGAAAGTTTCCAGTTCTCACCTGAGCTGGAACTGGAAGCAGAACTAGTGATATTGCTTCCTTTCAGCCCAACTGAAGATGTCTCTGAACCCCAAACATTCATCCACCCCTCTGCGGCTGAGGCCTCAGTAGATGGTGAGAAAGGCATGCTGGGAGTTGTATTCAGTGCTCCTGACTGCTGCTCCTCCCTTTGAAGGCTTTCCAGACACTCTGCCAGCTTGGTATGGCCACGGGACCGGGCAATAGCCAGCGGTAAGCGACCCAAAGAATCTGGGATGGCCAAAGCTCGCCGATCCCATTTATACAGAACCACTGCTGCTTCCATATGACCCAAAGCGCAAGCCCACATCTGAAGAGAAGAAAATTGAGTTGCATTTAATTTCTATGCCCCTTCTATATGAACCAACTCATCCAAACAACACTGTGAAGCTACATGGTATCATGATTAAAGTATCCTGACCAAGTGTTAACACTCACCAGTGGTGTGCAAGAGAAATGATCCACGTTTAGAGGATCGACCTCAAGTTCCAGGTCAATACTGTCTGCGTGCTTAGTGCTGTAAAAAAACAGCACAGAAAACAATACAAAACAGTTGAATAATGCAATATACAGTACATGTGCATTTAGTGAAGGTATACAATCAGTATACTCACCGCCACTTGATAAGTGTTTGGATAAGTGTGGTGTAGCCTTGGGCGGCTGCCAGATGAAGAAGAGTCATGCCCCTGAACGTCTTGGAGTGGATCAGGTGCTTGGACTTGGCCCAGCATGCGCGGTTCATCATCTTTTCACAAACTACCACCACACGGCTCTCAAAGGAGTTGCCAGCTGGACCTTGACCCTGGCTCTGACCCTGACCTGGTGAGAACTAAAACAAAGAATCAAGAACCAAGTCAATTCAAGAAGCTAATGGGGATATCTATTAGTTTGGAGCAAGACAATGTAGCACAGAATGATACTTGCACCTGTTCAGAATTGCTTCTTCCTCCTTCTCCTCCTGTTCCGGTTCCTCCACTCTCAGATGGTCCTCCACTGCTCAGTTGCTGTTGCTGCTGCTGACCGGCCATCTCTGCCATCCTTCGCTCCATCTGCTCTAGGCGTTCCAGGATGGACATTCTGAACTGGTTATCTACATAAAACAAAAGAGAATTTAGATTGTTATGTGTACATCTCAATTGACTTTAAAATCCACATGAAGTCAAACTCTATTTACTTTCTTAACAGACGTTCCCAGTGTTATTGTGCATGATTCATCAGTGCATGTTATTCCAAAGAAAATAATGTTTGTGTTTCATCCACAAGTAATAACTGATTTCTGAGACCAATTTCTTTGTCTGCTGATATCACCAAGGCCGTTTATAGGAGCGTTCACACTGTCAGCGAGTAGGCATTTCACCTGTATATACGGTTATATAAGGTGGAAAATCACTGGTATGGTGATTTTTCACTGGTAAATTAAAAAAAGTAAGTGCTGTCCTATATTTTTTCTTGATGAATGTCTTGTTTAACTTAGAAAATTTTTTATGTTACAGAAGTAAAATATATTGTGAATTTCACTTTACTACTTTATATGGGTCAATTATATGATGCTCATTTTTTTGTCCGACTTTACAGTATTAAGTTATTTAAAATACACCTCTTCCATGATGAATTACAATTTCTGAATTAAAAATAATTTTTGAAATTTACACAAGTATATTTGATTTTAAAAAATGTCTACATGGTGTAGCTGAGATTGTAAAAATAAAAAACAAACAAACAAATGAAATTAGTTCATTTTCATAATTTTTTTTTTTAATTAAAAAACAACCTCAAAATTAAGCGACCCAAAGAATCTGGGATGGCCAAAGCTCGCCGATCCCATTTATACAGAACCACTGCTGCTTCCATATGACCCAAAGCGCAAGCCCACATCTGAAGAGAAGAAAATTGAGTTGCATTTAATTTCTATGCCCCTTCTATATGAACCAACTCATCCAAACAACACTGTGAAGCTACATGGTATCATGATTAAAGTATCCTGACCAAGTGTTAACACTCACCAGTGGTGTGCAAGAGAAATGATCCACGTTTAGAGGATCGACCTCAAGTTCCAGGTCAATACTGTCTGCGTGCTTAGTGCTGTAAAAAAACAGCACAGAAAACAATACAAAACAGTTGAATAATGCAATATACAGTACATGTGCATTTAGTGAAGGTATACAATCAGTATACTCACCGCCACTTGATAAGTGTTTGGATAAGTGTGGTGTAGCCTTGGGCGGCTGCCAGATGAAGAAGAGTCATGCCCCTGAACGTCTTGGAGTGGATCAGGTGCTTGGACTTGGCCCAGCATGCGCGGTTCATCATCTTTTCACAAACTACCACCACACGGCTCTCAAAGGAGTTGCCAGCTGGACCTTGACCCTGGCTCTGACCCTGACCTGGTGAGAACTAAAACAAAGAATCAAGAACCAAGTCAATTCAAGAAGCTAATGGGGATATCTATTAGTTTGGAGCAAGACAATGTAGCACAGAATGATACTTGCACCTGTTCAGAATTGCTTCTTCCTCCTTCTCCTCCTGTTCCGGTTCCTCCACTCTCAGATGGTCCTCCACTGCTCAGTTGCTGTTGCTGCTGCTGACCGGCCATCTCTGCCATCCTTCGCTCCATCTGCTCTAGGCGTTCCAGGATGGACATTCTGAACTGGTTATCTACATAAAACAAAAGAGAATTTAGATTGTTATGTGTACATCTCAATTGACTTTAAAATCCACATGAAGTCAAACTCTATTTACTTTCTTAACAGACGTTCCCAGTGTTATTGTGCATGATTCATCAGTGCATGTTATTCCAAAGAAAATAATGTTTGTGTTTCATCCACAAGTAATAACTGATTTCTGAGACCAATTTCTTTGTCTGCTGATATCACCAAGGCCGTTTATAGGAGCGTTCACACTGTCAGCGAGTAGGCATTTCACCTGTATATACGGTTATATAAGGTGGAAAATCACTGGTATGGTGATTTTTCACTGGTAAATTAAAAAAAGTAAGTGCTGTCCTATATTTTTTCTTGATGAATGTCTTGTTTAATTTTTTAATTTTTTATGTTACAGAAGTAAAATATATTGTGAATTTCACTTTACTACTTTATATGGGTCAATTATATGATGCTCATTTTTTTGTCCGACTTTACAGTATTAAGTTATTTAAAATACACCTCTTCCATGATGAATTACAATTTCTGAATTAAAAATAATTTTTGAAATTTACACAAGTATATTTGATTTTAAAAAATGTCTACATGGTGTAGCTGAGATTGTAAAAATAAAAAACAAACAAACAAATGAAATTAGTTCATTTTCATAATTTTTTTTTTTAATTAAAAAACAACCTCAAAATAGATTTTTTTAAATGCACAAAGCAAACTTGCATACAAAGATTACATTTATAACATATTCAATACTCTTGATCTTCTCAAACATACATTCATTCATTCATTATTTCTCATTGATCCATTTCCATTTGTCCATATCAAATAGTTATTTGACCCCCCCCCCCCCCAAAAAACATGGTTTCCAGCGACTTGCAGGCTCTTGTATGTAAGCTCATAATTGTTTTTTTGTTTTTGTTTTTTTACAGTGACCGCTAACATCAAGCCAAATTCCCTGCATATACCACATTGACACAGTTCTGTTTCACACACGGTGAATGAAAGTGAATCTAATTCTAATGAATGGACATACACGCATGCATTGTATTCTGTGTTTTTCCTCCACAAATATCCACCCTTGCAGACAAAAAGAGCCGCTCCGAAACGGAGCTCCAGTGCAGCTTTGTTCAAACACTACTGCAGTGTTGGTGCAGTGCAGATGATGTCATTTCCACCTGCTGCTGGCTGGCTGTCTTTCTCTCTCTCTCTCGCTCCCTCCACTCAGAATGCGGCACACGTACTCTCATGTAGGCTGGGGGGGGGAGGGGAAAGGGGAGGAGGGACCAAATTGCTCTACAACGGGGCTGTGACATAATCAACGCTCTACTACACCTCCAGCAGCCTGGAGACGACCAATCAGATGCCAACAGACCAGCCAGGCAACAGAATGCTTGAGAGCTTTGTGTCAAACCTGAAACTGTTGAGGGGCAGCATTTCAAAACAGACAGACCTAACTCATGTTTATTAACGCAGCCATGGAGAATATGTTTAGAGGAAATGGATGAGGCGACGTTATTTACATTTGCTGTATTGAGGTGAATATATAAGGTGAATTCAAGGTAACTTTACCATTTTTCGCAGTCATTTCACTGTCAAAAATTGGTCCAGTTTCTTGAATTCCTATACAAAAATCAGCTCCCAAGACATGTCACAACAAACAAATGCATGCAAAAAGCAAGCATCACACAGTTCCAACAGTTAATTTCAACTTTTAATATGCACTTTAAAAAGAGCAAGATTCTTCAGAAAGTCATAAATGCATATGAGGCTATCTTTTAAAAGTATAGAAAATTACATCTTGAGTTTGTGCACATAAATCTGACTTTTCCCAAGCACCCAACAACAACCTTCACCAACACAGACCAATGACGATGCACATGCATAAACTAGCCCAAAGGTGTCCAAAAAAACCCCCAACAGTACTTAACAGACTGTGCCAATGTGTGTTACCGTTTTTCAGGAGATGTTACATCAGCCTTGATGCTGCTCCTTTGGCCTGGGTACCTCTCCTGGTCAAGCGGAGCTCATGTGGTTGAGCACAAGCCTTGAGTACTGCAGTGTTGGTGCAGTGCAGATGATGTCATTTCCACCTGCTGCTGGCTGGCTGTCTTTCTCTCTCTCTCTCGCTCCCTCCACTCAGAATGCGGCACACGTACTCTATGTAGGCTGGGGGGGGGAGGGGAAAGGGGAGGAGGGACCAAATTGCTCTACAACGGGGCTGTGACATAATCAACGCTCTACTACACCTCCAGCAGCCTGGAGACGACCAATCAGATGCCAACAGACCAGCCAGGCAACAGAATGCTTGAGAGCTTTGTGTCAAACCTGAAACTGTTGAGGGGCAGCATTTCAAAACAGACAGACCTAACTCATGTTTATTAACGCAGCCATGGAGAATATGTTTAGAGGAAATGGATGAGGCGACGTTATTTACATTTGCTGTATTGAGGTGAATATATAAGGTGAATTCAAGGTAACTTGACCATTTTTCGCAGTCATTTCACTGTCAAAAATTGGTCCAGTTTCTTGAATTCCTATACAAAACTCAGCTCCCAAGACATGTCACAACAAACAAATGCATGCAAAAAGCAAGCATCACACAGTTCCAACAGTTAATTTCAACTTTTAATATGCACTTTAAAAAGAGCAAGATTCTTCAGAAAGTCATAAATGCATATGAGGCTATCTTTTAAAAGTATAGAAAATTACATCTTGAGTTTGTGCACATAAATCTGACTTTTCCCAAGCACCCAACAACAACCTTCACCAACACAGACCAATGACGATGCACATGCATAAACTAGCCCAAAGGTGTCCAAAAAACCCCCCAACAGTACTTAACAGACTGTGCCAATGTGTGTTACCGTTTTTCAGGAGATGTTACATCAGCCTTGATGCTGCTCCTTTGGCCTGGGTACCTCTCCTGGTCAAGCGGAGCTCATGTGGTTGAGCACAAGCCTTGAGTGAGAGGACTAAACTCTCTATTCGCTGGATGTTTGAGTATCTCATGGTAATATTATAATGCAGAGAGCCCAAGCCGGTTTCTCTATTTCATCACAGTTGCATCATGCTCTTGAGAGTGGGGGCTTCTGCACCACTTTACAGCTACAAGCGCAACAGGGGCTCAAAATCACTCACTTGTTGAAGATCTGTTGCGGTTTATTGTGCCTGAGATTGGTAATAAAGAGACTATGGGCTTTACAGTCATCAGAAATTAAACAAGCATTTGACAATGCATCCATATGGCAAGAAATGATTATTGCACATTAAACTGCACTTGCTGACAGTGTTGTTTTGCATATTAAGTAAATTACTTAAAAAATTAAGTAAACCATATCTGGTGAGCTGAGACTGTACAGCAATCCAAAACATCTTTAAAGTGTTGGTTGTGGCACTCTTCTCAATCATTTGATGAAACACAGCTGCCATCTCTCTTAAATAAATTCCCAATTACTGTCTGCTGATTAATGACAATAATATACTATTAAATAACCAATGCATCTTAAACAAAATAGAAAGTCTAATGTGCAGAGAAAATAGGATGTGTACAGTGTTTATGATTACTTATTAAACTCTGGATGATTGCTATATAATTTTTTTCCCCATAAGCAATCCAATATTCACTATCTGAGCTCAGAGAGCATACTGACTCTTTCATTTTTATTTTTAGGGTTTAAAAGAGCTCATGCTCTGCTGGGCATTTCCACAGGATTTGCTTTAAATCTATAACAGACTAATATCCTGTTTAAGCCCATCACTATAAATGCATCGAAGAGAAATGGAAAAAACGAAATCACACAAATGACTCTTTTTCGACAGGATTTAGCTGATAACGTGCAATGATTTTGTCTTAAGGGGATTTAGCTCAGCATGGACTCAAAGCTGGGATAACAGCTCCTAATGCTGTGGACATTGGTAGATCTGGTAGATCATGACCCTCGAACAGGTGCTTGTTTTGGATAGAATTGGACAGAGGCGAGGATGCTATGACAATAATGTCAGTCATACTCCCAGAACGGATTATTTGTATGAACTTTCCTTGTCTAACCGGAAACATCCCTTCTGCTTAAAAACAATTCAATATTGGCAATTTGAATCCCCGTTCAAGGTTTATCAGACATGTACTGCCTCAGACCACAACTTTGACAAACAAAAGCTTCCAGCACAAAGACTTTGGCAGCTGGAAACAAAGGCACTCTTGTTTATGTGTGAATGTTTTTCTTTCTTTATTTTTGACTTTCTTGAGATATTATGCATATATGTCTGCAAGTAATGGACAACAATAGGTTTCAAAGAGTTTTACTTAAAATACTCTAAATACTGTGGTCACACACACAAAGAAAGAACTTTGACTGTTTTTCAAAATATGTCAAATACATTACTGACAATGAAACTAACTGAAAATTTCGCAAAAAAAAAAAAAAAAAAACTCTCTGAATGACCATTACAAAAAAAAAAGCATAAAATGAAAAAACAAAACAAAAACACAGACTCTCCACAAAGAGTTGTGTACTCTAATTACACATGAAACTAAAAGTGAGTGCAACACAGTACGTGCTCAGATTTAGTTCAGTCTGCATGGAGAGTAGACATACAAACAAAAAACTGTTTAATCTCAATCGAGAGCAAAAACAGCATGGATGAGACACATCTGTGTGGGCGCTCCATTAGCGGACTCAAGCCCTGACCGCAATTCCTAGAATTCCACAGGAAATCTCATTAAAGCAGAACAAGGAACTTTGAACTGCAGATTTAGGGTTGATTATGGTGACCTAGTTAGAAGTTTCCTTGTAAGGGTATGTAGGCAGAATACAGAAGTTACTCGATTTGGGTTGAAATCCTCTTGACTTTTGTGATGTGATTTCAGTGAGATGTGGCAAGGATTGCAGATTGTAATTTGACACACACGGATTAGACACTAGTGTTGTTTGTAATAATAATAAAAACAGTGAAAAGACTTAATGAAAAGGGAAATTACAAAATTTGTCAACAGGTTGGTAAAACAATTTTAATAGGTCTGCCAGCAAAACAACACTGCATCTCATTATTACACTGTATAATTCTAGAAAAAGAGTCAACAAGGGTCATGGCACAGTATATTCGTCCTCTCCCTCTGGAGCGCTTAACAGAAGAAGGGCAACAGTCTGATCCTCTCAGCATCACTGTCGCTGTCCACTGCCTGTGGTGCTGAAGACAGACGCACTACACTTGACTGACTCATTGTAACCACATGCTTTAGGAGATCTGGAGGTCTATGAGAGCAACGGTTGGTAAAAGTTTGCAAGCCTTTGCACACAATCTGACCTGGTTATAACCTGTACAACATCATAATTCTACAACCATTCATTTAAGGAAACTTCCATGCTGAAGTGTATAGTAGTGAATATTTTCCACACTTCACCCATGAGTTCTCCAAAATGCAATGAAATATCTTTCCAGCAGAGAAAATGCTCTCACTGCTGTTGAAACATCACAAACAAGGGAACGAATATTGCAGGACACACAACAAAGACAATGTACAACCTATATTCATCTTTAAAAAGCCTGTGCATGTGGATCAAGTTCATGTCAGTATGAAAAAAACCACGCGTACTAACCCGAATCAGCCAGCGTGTTGTCTGTCACTCACACATGTTCTCCATCCAGCGTCAAACTAACCGCAGGAGCCGCTTGGCAGCGGAGCCAACAACAATAGAACAAAGTGTAAGTGCGGAGTATGTAGGGAGAGAAATAAAACCCCCTCGTCCCCCTCCTCTACACCTCCTCCTGTTCCCTCCCCATCCCTGCTGCCGATGCTTTATCTTCTCGGCTCGCTCATGGAGACGCGGGGCTTCATCCGCCGCAGGTACGCGCTTTACGCACCGCTTTACGCGCAGTCGTGCGCCACCGGCTGGCTCTCCAAACACTCGCAGGCATCACAGTCATCTTTTTCCAACGGAAAACAGTCGATTAGATAGAAAAAAAGAAAGAAATCTACGTGTTGTCGTATCTTTAATACTGCGAACGCTCTACGCGCACCAACCATTCGTCTCGGAACCGCGACGGTTTTTGCGTATTTTGTTTATGTTTTTTTGAAAACGTTTATCTGTTTTATAACATTTGACGACAGCTCCTGGACCCGAAGCTTCTCGCTTTTGATGTTTTTGACTAAAACCGCGCGAATCTGAAGTCGTGTGGTGGTTGGATGTGGACGTGTTTTTCTTTTGGGAGTGGCAGCGAAACACAATGGAGCCGCTACGATCATTCATATAACCGCTTGGAACAATGTGATGGTCGCTCACACGTGTGTTTTGCGACAAATCTGTGTCAACAGGAGTTAGGTTTACTGCTCCTGCCCCGCTCAGCCTCTGTCCTGTGGTCCAGTACCTGCAATGCTGCAGATAAACTGTTTTTCTCCTCTGCATTATGACAAATCAGGCCAGGCGGTGTGTCGTTCAGCTGCACGCAGACAGCATGCAGGAAGAACTGAAGCTCTATTAGACGTATGAGACCTCATCTCATAAACTCAGATTACTCTTTTTCAGCGTTTTTCCATTTTAACATCTGTAACTGTAAACATCGGGGTGGCCTCAAATACAACTAGAGTCTAAATTGTTGGTGCAGGGCTGAATTTCACTTAATTAAAGAAATGTGGAAAAATAGGCAAAGTCTATTTTTAGGACCCATAAGATCTGTTTACATTATTTAGATAAATTGCTTCAGTTGTAAAATAAAATAAACATCAAACTCTACTTACTCCAAAATCCTATATTTAAATACTGAAGTTTATGCTGATTGAATTTAAATATGTCCAGACTGGACTCATTTTAATTACTCTATTACAGTACTGACAAACTAATGAGAACTATCTTTGAGAATAATGATAATTACAATCACTCTATGAAAATGGCAATGATGTTTTTTCACATTAAAGTTGAGGACACGAGGGACGTGCTTAATTGTCATTTTTAGGCAAAATATATATTTTCAGTTGGTTTTGAGTGAAATTTAGGCTTTATTTATTCATTGTTTGCCATTTAAATGTTCACAAAATATAAAGCAATGAGATTTTCTATTAAAATACATTTTTTATTATTACTAAATATGACCTGGATACTTCCTCTTGAGATTCACCCTCAGAAAATAAACAACAAACCATTTTTACCACAGAACAAGTCCGCACAAGTCCTTGTATAACCTGACTAGTATATATTCCACAAACAGTTGAAGCACAAAAACATACACCATGAGTGCAAGAACAGACAAGTCTTTTAAAGCCTTTTCAGTGTTCTTTTATCAAAATGGATTCTCCATTGAATGGCATTCATCTTTAAAATATCTGAAAACGACTACAAGCCCAGTTTGACCAACTTGCTTATTCAGGCCAATAAAGAGTCTCTGTGAGTTGTTTTTATTTTACTTTAAGACTAGACAAACACTACATGACCACCTTGATTAAAATGCATGCAAAACAATAGTTTAACATCAACCAAGTCTTTATTGATTCACCTGCCAGTCATTTAATTCTTAAGAAACAAAGCTTGAAGAAGTGTCAGCCATCAGCCATTCAGAGGTTTTTCAGACAAACAACATTTGGCAATACACAAATATAATATTAAGTATTCAAAATGCATAAAAAAAACATGAATTCAGATGAAACATCCAAAGTTTGTATACAGTGTATTGCTGAAAATGAATAAATGCAAAATGATGACAACCAAAAACTCAACTGTGTAACAGCGGTATATGATGTAACGCAAGATAAATCTCAAACGTACCATCCAGTGAGAGCCAGTCATGTTGAGAAGAGGGCAGGGCAGGCAGGGCACGGGCTTTATACTCAAACACCACTGAATTGGAGATAATTTGACTGCTGGCTGCCACCTGCAGGGTCACCAGGCCTGTGTCATGAGCTTTGAAAGGAAATAAGACATAAATTAATAATTTTTAATGTGCAAAGAAATGGCTTACAGTGTGAAGTCCACACATTTGCAAACCATTTACAATGGTAAGAGTGATGGCTCCGAGTATTTGCATTTATGTATTTATTTAGTTATGTAACAGTGGAATTTTAATGAGTTCTCTATGACACCTGTTAAAGAACAGTCCTTTGTTTGTTCACAAAGACCACATGATATATTCATGGACTACAGTATAGAGACCCAACACACAAAGTTTGAAATATTACCTGTTTATTTATTTACTTATTTATTTATTTTTAGCATGAACCCTAAAATAAGATGTTGGATTGGGACCATGTGGCACACTGACTGATGTACTGTCTACTTTTTATCTTTATTTGATGATTTTAGTATAATGAAATGTAGCTGCATCACCCTTTCCCTTTAAAATGACAATTTTAAATGTCTGTATATACATGCATTGTAATGAAATACCTGGGCAGTAACAGCGTAGCACCCCAGGCTGGATGAGGGAGGCCGGAACTGTTATCTGATCAAACAGACAGGTATATTCACTGCTGGCCTCCTGCCATGGACCGGTGATCAGCACCTTCACACCACCCTGAGAAATAAATACCAATATTATATATAAATGAGCACAGTTTCCTTTAATGTAAACTGTTAAAACTTGCAACGGTGCTATCAGCCCCGAAATTGGTTGGTTACATTCAGTTTTGGGGGTAACACATTACAAGTAACGTGAGTTACGTAATCAGATTAGTTTTTTGGAGTAACTAGTAAAGTAACGCATTATATATAAAATATCTGAGTTACCTTTTCAAAAAAGTTTTTTTTCCTTTTCCCATTTATTGACTGACAAGTCTCCTGTCCCCATACTGGGAGAAATCAGAAGTGCAGAGGAGTTGTGTGTGCTGTGTGAACATGATGTTACTGTAGTTCTAGACTAAATGTGAATGTGCATTAATTCATCCCACTCACAAAAAACAGATTTAATATTCATCAAAATGAATTAAAACAGTGAAATGCAAACTCAGAATATGACGCAAACCTGCAATAATTAAATATGTTAAATAACACAAAAGTATCTAATCCCATTTTATTAACCAATGTCTTTGCTGCTGACCTTTGCTGATCCAGTTCAACCATACTAATAAGCAAAAATGACTTTAGATAAACTAACAATTGTGCTTCATTGTTTTGTTTTTTTTTATTGCTGAAGAGTGTTTCTTCTCCTGTGTTCTACTGTACAGATGTGAATTTACTTTTGCTTCAGCCTGAGGTTTATTCATTACACTTTTTGGTGTGAAAGGGCTTTTACATTTGCTATAAATAGAACTTCTTATATTAAAAACAATCAAGCTCTGTTCATATTTAAAAAGTAATGTGAAAGTAATGCAAAAGTAATATAACGCATTACTTTCCATAAAAAGTAACTAAGTAACGTAATTCGTTTCTTTTTTAGGGAGTAACGCAGTATTGTAATGCATTACTTTTAAAAGTAACTTTCCCCAACACTGGTTACATTTACTGTGTGCTTGCACTGTCAGATTTGACAATATTCTCTTTTAATCCAACATGTATTTTTTTTGTTGTAAATATGCATTTATTTTAAATGTCAGTACACTACAAGAAAGACTGAATTAAAGCGCATCTATAATGATATCTTTTTTCAACAAGGAAAATGTCACAGAAAAAATAACCAGGGTTTGTGAGAGCTTAAGTTTTGTTGTGGTGAGCTCTAATAGCCCTTGGTCTATATTAGTCCGACTGCTTCCTTGCCAATGGGCATGTTAATAACAGGCCGAGCATGTGTCTCATGTGGCCCAGGGGCTTCTGGGACAAATACATATGTCACTTGTTGTAGAGAAGACATTGAGCTTAGCGTTCAGACCTCACAAGACTCAAATCTATTCCTGCATTAAACAGTGTGTGGCCGATTCCCATGTGAACAGTAAGCTTTCATTCCACAGGTCTCCACAGAATTACACAAGTTCCTTCATGTCCCCTGGCCTTTGCTTATTTAAAGTGACGGTTCACCCATAAATGAAAAATGTATGTCATTATTTACTGACCCTCAGGTTGGCCCGAACCTGTATGAGTTTCTTTTTTCTGTTGAACACAAAATAAGATATTTTGAAAAGGGTGTGTAACAAAACAATAACCAAACTGTATAATTTTTTTTCTATACTACAGGGGCCAGTTGCATAAACTTAGCCTCTATGTTAAGACAGTGTCTTAAGTACTAGTCTGACCAACTAGCAGTTAACCAAAGGGTAATCAGTCTTTTTTTTTTTAGTTCAGCTTTAGTTCAGACTAATCTACATTTTTATTTAACTGAATAAAAAAAAAAAGAAGTTGTCTTAAAGAAAAAAAAATTAGCTGACAAATTTTTAAGACTAGTCTAAAACATTTATGCAACCGACCCCAGAGAAGTCAATGGCTACCGTCAACTGTTTGGCTACCAGCATTTTTCAAAATATCTTAATTTGTGTTCAATAGATAAAAAAAAAATTCATACAGGTTTGGAACAACTTGAGGGGGAGTAAATGATGACAGAATTTGGGTAAACTACCCCTTAGTTACCCCTCTGTTATTACAGAGTATTAATCATTTTACTATGTTTAAATCCATTCCACAAAATTTAGTAGATTTTCCCTCCACGTTTGGACATTTGCTTTGATCTCTGCTGCCCCCTGCTGGCTATTCTAGCACACATCCATAGCAGTCAAGTTTTTTTTTGCTCTGCAGAAGTGTCACAAACTCACCTCGGGATAAGACCACTCTGGAGAATAGTCTGTCACCACAAACAGCCTTCCGGTAGCCTGTAACATTCCCATGTTTCCATGCGCGACAGCTGCCGACACGGCCTCGGCCACCTGCATATATGCCAGCTGTCCTGCCTCACCCGCCACTGCCCCAGCCTGCGTAGACTGAGGGCTGCAACAGGACTGGAGACAGAGGTCTGCAGAATTGTACCCCCTTGCCCCATGAGTTACTTCGTCTGCACCTTGTTGTGCTGCAGTTCCAGAGGAGACCTGCCCCTCTGTTCCCGAATGGGTCATCAGCTGATGGCTGTAGAGAGCGTTGGCGCCCGCCACTACCGCCGTTCCGCTTCCACCTTCTACCGAAATGAAGTCATTGATGAGATCTGAGAACTGATTCCCGAAGGAAACGTCAAAGTGGTCCAGATTAATCTCCATGGAGCCCCCTCCGTTGGTTCCACTACTGCCCAGGCTCTGGTGGGCGCCCACGGTGCTAAAAAGCCCCTGCACCAAACCGGCTCCTTGCAGGAGCGGCTGGAGCTGTTGATTGGTGGTTCCACTTGCCTCGGTGTCATTGCACAGGTTTCCACTTTCTGCGCTCGCGCTCGTTCCTCCAGATCCCGGCCCGACTCCACCACCTTCCGTTGGTTGCTGGAGGTAGTGCTCTGCGCCTCCTACACCCTCGGCTTCTCCTCCTTCACCAGTCTGCAAGTGCTCCCCTGGTTTCATAAGACCATCCGAGTCCTTCTCTTGAACACCTCCTTCTCCTTGTTCTGCTCCTATTGGCTGTTCCAAACCACCCACTTCCTCATGCTCCTGACACGGTGTTGGAAAGCGGTTCTGGTACTGCAGAAGCTGGAGCGACCCAGCTGGTCCATTACGTTCGGTTGGAGAGCCACCGTTGCAGTTAGAGGCAGTGCGCTGGCTGGGGTGGGTATGATGATGGTGGTGGAGATGCCCATTAGTTCCCGTTGAGTCCGTCTTGATGACAGACAGGCCCATGTAGACATTGGAGTCATGAGAGTTCTGGGTCGAACTGGAGTTGTTCTGGGTTTGGGACTGTGGTGAACCTTGCAGGAAGAAGCTGGGGGAGTGACTCTGGTGTGCCAGGTGAGAGCTGGAGATTGACTGGCCGTAGCCCGCCTCTGACATAACACTGGATGGGTAGTCTTGCTTGGCATCAATTGCACAGAAATCCATCTGCTCAAGGGTAGTGCTGGGACTGAGTCCACCTCCAGACGGCAACAGTGAACCAGTGGGAGTCAGAGCCAGGGAGTTTTGGGCCGAACCGCCGTTTGAGGAACCGGACATACTGACAGCACCGCTCACCCCTTCTCCAACCTGATAGCCACTCTCTTTCGCCAGCTGCTGTTCAAATGACATGTCCTCCGTTTTGATGTTCTTCACTAGAGAGGTGTTGAAGATGTAACCGTTGTCGTTGAGCGGCGGGGAACACTTCAACCCTCCGTTACTGCAGCTGCTCCCATTGCTGTCCTCGGTTTTCAGCCCATTCCCTCCGTAGGTCTGACCTTGCTTGGGGTTGTTGAGGAAGCAGTCAGGGTCAAAGTTCATATTAGTCTCAGGCAGCTTAATACTCCCAGATTCCAGGTTACTAGACAGCAACAGTTCTTCAGACACACTGGCTGTGGACAGCATAGCAAGTCCGTCTGTGGACCCTGCGTCTGCTAACCCCACTCCAACTGCTCCAGCAAAGGCAAATTTGTGACTGTCAGCTGCCACTGCTAACACCAGACTGCTTGAGGCTGTGTCGGGCCCCAGGAGGTGAGTGTTGGGGTCTACAGTCGGGGACATGCTATAGACAGGGTCTCCAGAGACGTCTGACATGAATACATTGGCGGACTGAGACAGGCTGCTCATTACCGAGGCTACATGGCCCATTCCTGTCACCACGGGACTGTCGGCCATATCGGGGTCGGAGTTTAGCCCACTGCTAATGGAGACGGGTGAGCTCTGGGTGGTATCTGGCACTTCCACCTGGTTGGATGAGGACACCTCCATACTGTTCTGATGGAGCAGTGCTGGCTTGTGCACCTTGCCGTTCCTTTTCTCTCGGCCGCCCGTTCCACCGGCGCTGTCTGCCCCTGCCCTGCCGTTTTTGCCCCCACCGTGGCTGTGCTCCGTCTTTCCCTCTGACACGTCGTTGTTCTGAACCTCGGAGTGGGTGCTGCTGTAGGCGCCTCCAGTGCGTGGGTCCACTTTTGGGGAGATGATACGGTGTTTGGCACTGTTGCATTTGTGATGCAGGCTGCTCCCAGCACCTACAGAAAGCAGACACATTCTAAGTTACGGTATAATATTAACGCAACCTAAAAGTAGCTTGACACCTAAAGCTAAATCGTGCATTTTTATGTATTTTATTGAAAATGCTGGCACACTGTTTAGCAGAGAAATGGCAAATGCTATGTACACCGCCATTCAAAAGTTTGGGATCAGTAAGATTTT